AAAAAAAAAAAAAGCTTCTACTTTGCTATAGTCATGGAAACCTCTCCTAAACCTGGCACTCTTTCACTTTGGGAGCCAGCTCAGACTTCAGATCAGGATTTACTGTTACTAGCCGTCTGTCAGGGACCTCAATCTAAAGTGCTCTCTGTGTAAAATGGAGGTGAGATCAATACTTAGCACACAGGTTACTTTTGTAATGTGTAACCTAAGGAATGGTGGAGCACAAGTCTTGGCACTTAGGCAGGTTCATAATACTGCTGCCCTCTACTTGCTATGTGTGCTCTAAAGACCACCTCAGGGACTTACACTACCTTTACTCTAAATGAAGGTGATAGTTAATATTCTCAGATAGCATTTATATTTGCAAGAGCCTGTACTCACAAGTATTGTTTCATTTAAACTTCACATCAGTCCTCAGGGGCTCCAGGAGGCCAAGTCAACTTTCTCAGTTCCATAGCTCACAGGTCGTGAGCTACTTGGTCTGTCAGACTCTGAAGTTCTATTTGGTTTGTACCACTTGTTGGAAACATTCAGAAGAAAAGCAATGACTAGATACAGGTGAAGACAGTTGAAGCAGCATAGTTAGGAGAGGAAGATGTAGGGAGAGTCTATTGTTCAGCAGCTGATGTGACCACAACTGGTTTAACATCAAACTTCCTCTATGGGTTTTATGTATCAGATGAGATCAATTAATTATGCATCATACCAATTCCAAGAAGGATTACCTAATCTACAAAATTAAACTTTAAAAACAGCCCTGTTTTTATATGGCACACGCCTTCACTGACTTAGTGTGATAACTTCTGAGCAGGCTGCCCTGTGCAGTCAGGTTCAGAAGATTAGGAGTCCATCATGAAAGGACCAAGGCTAACGTTGCTGATAGGGCCACCAGGTATAGAGACCCATGAAGTATAGAGAGAGATTTCAAGGTTCAACTCTGAATCTGAATTGCTGAAACTTACCAGGCCTAATTCCAGAATGAGTGGCTGTAGCAGTTGCCCTGTTCAGAGCAAAACAATAGAACCCACAGAGAAAAGGGTACAGGGGAGGATATAAACATCTTCAAAAAACATAAATTCCTTATGAGACTTCTATAATCCATTAGTAAGAGGAAATAAAAGCATTGTTGAATGCATTCTGAACTTTTTTGCAATTAGCAGTGAAGAGAACAGTTCCCCTGCTTTTCCTAGAGATTCATTAACAGAAACAAAATCCACCTTTTGTGTATGCTGGTATTTATACTCCATAGTTTAACATTTTGGGCCTGAATTTTTTTTTTCTTCTCCAGGAAAAAATAATCATTTTTTAAACAAATATTTGAGTGTATCTTAACCATTTTCTCAACTTGTCAACAATATTTATAGATGTAATTTTTAAAAGTCTACAATCAGATGTGTATACAGGAAAAGAATATTCTGAATCCTCACTTCAAAACAAAAACCATTAGTGTGTTCAGGGAGCCATCATTTCCCAAATTAGCAGGGGTTTAGAAAGAAATCAGAAATGTCAGGCAGTATGAGAAATGTTCCCTCCACTATATATACTTTTTGACATTGAGGGTTTTCAGAGCTACATTCCTCCAACAGATGTCATAAATTTTGTGTGTCACATAATGAATGAAGCTATATTGAGAGTTCACTAATAAGAATGTAACTTTGCCAAATTTATGACAAATGGGCATCAACCCAGAGGATAAGGCTGGTTCTTGCTGCCTGTGAGAATTTTATTTCCATTTGTTTCCAAGGCCATGGAGAACAAAGAGTTGAGTCAGGGCCTTATCAGAGCCTGCCAATGCTGATGCCCTGAATGAAATGCTGATTCAGCAAAACATTGCCCCTTCTGACCACAAAGGCCAGAGGAAAAGGAGGCCTGGAGAGATTAAGTGGCTTGCTCCAAGACATTCAGCTGGTTGAGTTCAGCTCAGCAGAGGGGCTAGCTGAGAAGTAGATGTGGCAATGTGTTCCTCAGCCCTGGGCTTTCTTCCCTTCTGCATTGTGCCCTTAGCCAAGCTGAAACTACTTTTTTCTTTTGAAATGAAAATCCCCAGTACCATTGACCTGGAGGCTATTCTTTGTATGGCCAGGATGCCCCATACATGAAAGATATAATGTTTGTTGATTGGAAAAATGACCCAGAAACAAGCGCCAGTAATAGCTTCAAAGTTGTTCATTTGTGCACAGGAGGTGAATGTCATACATTGACATTTCACTTTTAATCAAAACGTCTACCCTTGAGAATAGGTTTCTGTGACACCATTCTCAAACTATATTTGGATTTGCTGCTGATTGCAAGTAGACAGAACACAGGATACTGTGCCAAGGTCTGGCTTTGATGTAAAGGAAGGCATTGCAGCCTTAATTCTTTCTGGAGGAGTCATCAAGGGGACCACTGTGGAATCCATGCCCCTGTTCAGAGGAAAGCTGATGGCACAAAAGGTAAGGTGTCTTTTGTATGTGTGACAGAGGAGCAGCTCTCTCTCCATCTTCCCAAGGGCCTGCTGGGCATGGGTGGGCCAGAGGAATGAAAAGCCACCTCCTCTTAGTGGATGCTGCATGGGGAAGGGTACAGAGACACCAGCATACTGCATGATGGTGAGTCTCAATCTATTTCCAACTCTAAGGATTTGGAATACTGCCTTTCCAGTGGAACTCTCTTTTACACTCAAAAATTGAAAATCCACTCCCAGGTGCCTGGGAATGATAATGCCCTTCAGTGTTCCAGTGAGCTGAGTTTCAGTGGGTTCACTAGATCCTGCACCAGCACCCACACTCCATACCAGTCTCAAGTTCAGTTCCTCCATGAAAACCATGGTTCGCATAAAAAAATTGTCAAGGAACTACTTTTAGATCATGCTTTGGTCAAGGACATGATGTGAACCTCTTCACTATCTATCCCCCAAAAGGACTGAGTATTGCTAAAAGCTCAGTGATCCACACAAAAATGGGAACAATGCGATGGGATTGATGGGGGAGAGGCAGGGCAGGGCTCGGGGTTAGGGAGGTGCTGGCATATCTGCCTCTTGGGAGACCAGGCAGTTCGAAAATGAGAACTGCTAGCTTGTTCCGCTTGAAGGCTCACTGCCATGTTTTGTTTTCCTGCTGTAGTCCACCAACACTCCTTTCCAGAACAACTCAGGACTGTCCAGCCCCTTCTCAACAAATTAGGGCCAGGTATGGTGGCACACACCTGCAATCCCAGTGGCTCAGGAGGTTGAGGCAGGAGGATTGTGAATTCAAAGCCAGCCTCAGCAACTTGGTGAGGCCCTAAGCAACTCAGTGAGACCCTATCTCTAAAATATTTAAAAGAGCTGGAGATGTGGCTCAGTGGTTAAGCACCCCTAGGTTTAAACCTCAGTGCCTCCCCTGCCCCCCCAAATTAAGAAGCAACAAAGGCAGAGTAATTTGTCTAGTAATAAGAATATAATAAAGTAAGAAAAAAAATGAGTCCCAATGAATTGTTTCTGGTGTCAAATCTTGGCAAAGTTGCTTATCTCTCTTGAGTTGCTAACCCCCTTCTTAAAAACTATCTGGAACATCTTCATTTCTCTACCATTTCCTGAAATTTTTTATTACTCTAACCTCTTATTCTACTCACTATCAGATGCAAAAGAGCTTCCATGTTGTCATTTATTAATTAGAGAATATATGGAAAGTAAGCTTTGTAATTTGGTCTAAAAGACTAAGAATTAAATTCCATTTCTATTTTTAAAAGACATTATTTGAGGAACTGTACATTGAGAGTTGCAGGATGATACAGAAAAGGTCTAAAATATACTTCTTGGCAACAAGGAGTCTGTGAAATCCAGAGGAAGCAACTAAATATATGCACACGCACTTAAAAAAAACGATGACATGGCAAATTGAAAGTAGATGATACAGGAGTACAAGGGAAACGGAATACTCCCTTCTGGGAAGGTTTTTATCCCCCTAAAACAAGACTCCCTGGGGCATGATGTATGATTTCCTCAAAGGCACTCCAGTCCCAGGCAAGTCATGACTCACCCTGGCCTCTAAAATCTTAGAAATGAGCTCTACTGGCTTAGAAAGTCTGGTTTTACTAGTTACTTTGTCCACTAGGTTTTTGTTCATTGTTGTAGCTTTCTTCTCCCATAGTCTCATTTTAACACTCCCTCTTAC